TTGTGTAAAATGTATATTATATGAAACGCCGAGGAAGAAGACGATATGACATTCTTTAGATCAAGACATATCAAAGGAACTACATATTAATAATAAGAAACATTTCATAAAATAACTGACTACAGTAAACAGGAAATATTGGCACAATGTCGTTTATCTCCGTTCATTTTCGATCTAGACTTTGTTGCTTAAGGAATCGGCTATTGTACTTACGAATCGATAAATCGTAAAATCTTTTTGTGAAATACACACGTTAGATTATTCTTATCAAGGCTTAACTATGGAACTGATACAATGATTTTGACATCTGAATCTATTCGGATTCAGATTTGTTAAGTTTAGTATACGTAGAATATTATTTTTATATATAATATTATTTTCATTTATAATAAGGAAACAGTCAACAATGACATCATTGAGTGTCTCTTGATAAGTTATGATAACAATAACACGAAATTTATTTCGATATAATCTCATCAGGATTAACTTTTGTGTTTATAAAAGTTTAGGATCTTACAGTATTGTAAAAATGGGTACAAACATTTCATATTTAAAAGTTATTAAATTATTCAAAGTTTCGTGAGACATTATAATAAACTGATATAAAAACGGCTAAACACTCACGTATATTCGTCCGAAGTATGAAGTCCGATATATGAAGCGAAATAATACCAATACCACTCATCCTGATGAAGGACCCCCGATGGGCTCGAAACTAGTCGGTGCCGCCCCCGGACGAATATACGTGAGCGTATAGCCGTTTTTATATCAATTTATTTAAAAGTTATTTGCTTTAATCTTGTACTAATGACATCAAAATAAATACATGGTAAATGACCTATTGGCTTATTAATTTACAAAAATAATTGAGACTCCTACATTTAAATGATAAGTACATCAACATCATAAATATTGTTTTTACGGTCGATAGTATGCTATTATTGTATGCGTTGGACTTGGGACGGCTGACTGGTCGTTTTTTTTTTATTAACTAAAGAAAAACACTCAAATTAGTAGATTTATTTTGAATTTAACTAAAACAAATGCTTATAGATAGCTGATCTGAAAAACATAATCATTGACTTGTTTGTAGTTCAAATAAATACAGACTTCCCAGATTTAATAACTGTTGTATCTTTTCACTTTGACGACAGGTGTCATTGGTCCCTAACTGTAAGTCAATATCCCGATTCGCGTAGCGTACAAGTTGCATTTTTAGCGCTTCTTTCTGGTGAAACAAAACGTGCGAAATTATGACGGTACAATTTTACATGAACTTTTAATGTGACCTTCAACAATTAAAATAGAACGTAACGTGCGATATCCCAAGTACCTACATTATTTTGTAAATCTGAATATAAGATTACATCACTTTGTTTACTTCATTGTCCTAATAACCCGCCGTCTTTTGTCTATCATTAATAAGACATTCTAAGGTAAATACATTCCGTTCAGCGAACAGTTTCAGTGCAAATATAGTAGCAATTTCTTTTATTAACCATGATTGGATTGATAGGATACTCTTACATTATTAATTAAGGGCACAGTACTAGCACGCATGAGTTCATTAACATGGTATAGGTATTTACGACTTCATTAGATTAAGTCGCAAGTTGGAGTTGTTTAATGAGTCGCAGTTGGCAAGGGACGGAGATCGTCGCCCCTTCGATGCCCCGTCTCGGCAGTCTGGAGCAACGACCGTCGGCGTCGCCCCAACCGAATGACTCGAGTTTTTATACGACGCGCCTCCACCGGATACATCCCTCGCAGTAAAAAAACGTCATTCAACCGCACCAGAAATTCTTCGTACTTGATTTGTTAAGGATAATATAACTACAGGTAGGGCTTATGGAATATAACATGTATACCGCAGTCTTTAGTACGAAGTTTCATTACCATTGAGAACGATTAGAGGTTAAAATGGATTGTTTTACGAATAGAAGCCACCATCATCTAACATTGGTGTAAATGACCTAGCATTTTAGTTCCAATTGATACTAATTATACTGAAAATTAAGGCAAATATAACAGTCGTGTGCCAAATGTAGCTATATGTTTGAAATAAACGTTGAATAACTCGCTTTGTTCTGTTCGTACGTATTCTATTACTTATCGAAGTGAATTAAAAAAACTCATCTAATAGAGCGTTCGCGAATGATGACGACATACTCAGTGCGTGTGTCATCGGTCAACGAGACGCACCATTTTGGTAGTTGCCTATACCGGTCGCTCTGTTTCGTGAACGTTCGAGCAGGATCGTGCGCACTCGAGTTAACGGGCCAGCGCCTGCGCCTGCGCAGGGTCAACACACGCCCGCCAAGGCCGGGTCGACGCCCCTAGTTATATCCAGAGTCCAGAGTTATACATATAACCGTACTTTTTATATTATATATTATTATACTCCTACAGTAAATCATGTTGAAATATAAGTTATTTTATCGGACTTCCAACATTGATATGCTTTGATCGATTAATATTTAACAATAGACGCAAAGCCACGTCTAATTTTTACGACTTGTGATAAAGGGAAGTTGTTATGCAATCGTGACGTATTGTGCAGAGCGTTGGTTCACGCGATATACATTTACATGGAACGTAGAAAATGATTAGTCCTCGCATTTGCGCAACAAATGACGTCAATCGGTGCTCTCAATACCTATAAATGATTGAATACTAGACAAACGTGCTCAAGATAAATATATCCGGTTACCTAAACTTCTAATAGTGAAGTTAATTGCATACAATGCCTAGAAACATTTAGTATGAAATAATATTTAAAAAAGAAATAAAAAATGTTTATTTAATTCTATATAGAATTTTATTTTATGGGTTGTGTATGTTTTAAAAATATTAGTAATTTTTTGTTAGTCCAATCTTTACATAGACAAACACTTTAAATAATTAGGATGTGCATCATAACATCATAACCAAGTAATCGGTCAGTTGATTGTGATATGACTCATACGTCCAAAAATATAAATTTAACATAATTTTACATCCTAAAGAGAAGGATTTACCTCAGTCAATAAGGACGGAAATAAATCAAGTGACACCACTCTTTCCTAAATTGGAAAGGCCGTATTTAATACTATAGGTAGCAATGAAAAATAAAATGATACTCATTAAATACAACACTCTACAGTTAGGTTCAAAGTTATGTTTAAAGGTTTAACAAATTAAAAGCAAAATATTAATGTTTCTTAATAATTTTCTCATACCATACATGTTTGATTCATATAAAGTTTAATATATCTTTACATATAAACTTAATAAATAAGTAAGAATAAGGTTATTGACAATAACAATCATTTCAATGTCAACTAAAAGTTGTTTTAAATTATTTCTGTAATGTGAGATAAAGTTCGTAATGAAACTACATTTGAATCCAAATAAGGTCATTAAATGAACTGCAGTTTTACAGTTTCCTAGTTTTAAACCAGTTTGTATGTAAAATAAAGGAATGTGGTATAACATTGTTTGTATTTACAAACTTGAAATATTGTGCAACATATTTTTTAAGAAATTTGTCAAAACAATAACAATGTAATTGTTGGTCATTTACAAAATGTAAAAGTAGTTCAATATGGATCAACATTCATATAATGTTTCATAATACATAAAATTATACAACAAAGAAAACTGCAGTGGTAAACCACCTTACAATTCAATTGTTAATTGTGACCATGGTCACAAGGAATGTCACAAAAACTTGCCATAGTAAACTAACAAAGGGATCTTGAAAAGTCCAGGTAGAAGTATCAATAGAATTTTTTTCCCACATTTCAATAATTTATCTTCTTATAAACCTTTTTATTACTTTCTTTTTGCTTTAATGGTTTAACTTTTTTTTGTGTGTAAAAAATCTAAAACTAAATAAGATAAGGTTTATAACTTGATATTTGAGGGTATTCCAGAAAAAAAAGTTTATCTCAAATAATGAATTAAATGTAATACCGGTAAAACTATTAGAATTTAGCCCATCCCAATATTTAAATAACAACTACGCGATACGATGTAACTTTTCCAAGGTTTAACTCCAAAGTTTTTCGCACAAACCAGAAATAACTTATATGCTCTCATTTTAGGTTCTATTTTACAGTACATAAAATGTACGTGTGCTCATTTCTTAGGAGGTTATTAGCAAAAGGTTTCATATAAATACTCACGAATTGTTCCAAAACATGCCATCAAGTATTTTATAACAAACGAAAATCGGTTCTCTGCATACTTAAAAGTTAGTTTCACTTATAGTAGGAAAATCCATGAACGCCTGCATGGTGACGTACGATGTTGATGGGAGGGTGCGACCTTCTTTAGTTACATACAATTTCAGAGGTTTTTGGAAATTTTATACGAAAGTAATACATTTACTTACCTCCACAGCCATACACATTGAATAAAAATTGAACGGATGCAGCCGTGAACAGCCAACAAAATTCACCACACACGCGGAAAACGTGTGCCTCGCACAAAAAAATTGCCGAACTGCCGTTTAATGTTGCCAGTTAACAAAAATACTTTCCTTTTAACTTACCCTCAAAAAAATAATATTTTCTACCAAAAGTTACAATTTATAGCCTGACCAAAAATATAACACTGTGATGAGGGCGCAACAATCTCCATTAATATTTCAACATTTTACATCCTACGTCAATACGTCTAACGAACTCATATAATTGGAAAATTAAATTCAGTAATTTGCTTAATCCATATTAATTTAACAGTACTATTTTTTTCACCTTCATACTGTAACTGACATGTCATTTTTCTAATAAAATGCATAAAATATTTTATTAATAAAAAATGTCAAAATGCCATGGCAACTATTTTATATTTTTAAATAAATTGCTCTTACCATTAAAATAAATTATAACTTGTCCACTTTATGATGACTTGTTTAAGAATTGACATCTATGAAATATCTAACATATAAAAATCAATGAAAATATTTGCTTTGAATTTTCAGGTTTGGGTGCAGCTAGAATAAATGAAATGCTTGGTCACATAACACAACATTTATATTTGTCCCTCATATTTTGGAACCATGTTAAATACATAAAAGAAATTTTTACATGAACATATGATCATTGAAGCCAGGTGGTGGGAAATGATCGGCGTCGGGGGGCGGTCTGCGACCTGGCATGGGCCCTGCGCCTGGCGGCCCGAAAGGGTCGAAACGAGCTCCTGGCGGTACTGCACCTCTGTAATGATTATTTATTGTACATCATCTTATAACCCTGGCCTTATCCTACTCACGTGGCACACAAGGTTCTATGAACGTTAATATGTCGGCTCAATTTTTATAGCTGACCACCTGCCTATCGCCAACCCTTGGGAGATTATTACACATAGTATTATTTTTACTTTTAGCAACAAATATTAGTATACAAGCTCTTGGTAGTTTAAATAAACTAATATACGAAATTTAATAGTAGAAACTGTACTTGTTATTGAAAAATATTCTAACCTTGGGAGCCCTCCTGGGATACCTAATCCAGGATTTTCAACATCTCTTCGCGGACCAAATGGATTGAAGATCATACCACCAGCGCCAGGTGCGAAGGGATCCAGATCTGATCGTCCCACATTAGGAAGTTGGGCAGAAGGTAATTCCCTGCAAAACAAGGAAACTTTTCTGAAAACTTTTATAACACAGTCACTCCAAATTAATTCATGCAATGTAAGACATATTACAGGATGTGAAAAATAAATTAAAGAAAAATTAACAGACCACAAGTCATGATTATCTGGATTTACACATGGCAAGGGACGAGGAGGAACTCTCAATGGATCATTCTCAAGTCTTCTGTCATTTGTATTATCTGAAAAAATAAAGGTAATGTTACAACAGGTTTTAAAGGACAGAAGGAAGTTAAGGCAACAGTTCTGCTCCATGACCAAAGAATAAACATAGTTATAATTTCTTAATTTACTTTGCTTGGCATCTTATTTTTATTTTTTTTAATTAGTCAAAGTATACAAACCTCTTGTGGTCTGTGTTTGCACAGTTGTAGTAGGTCTCTCTGTGACTGTTTCAATCAGATCTCTCTTTAAGTTGAACATAAGTTCCTTGTGGTTCGGAATCAATTTATCTATACTGCCTTTCATTGCCTTTATGTAGTCATCAATGTTGACTGCCACATTTGACACTGTTAGATCTTCTGATCTCTAAAAAAAATAAAAATAAACTTTGAGTTTTTATTTACATTTACAAATATATGTTAACAAGAAAACTACAAAAAAAAACAATTGCAATTTATTCATTATTGGCCACAAACTATTAATTTCAAAATTGACTTGTATGCCTTCTTTCATAGTATACTGGTACTTAATAAACTTAGCGAACACAAAATAGTGTTTAAAAAAGTATAACACCAAAAATAGAAGAAGGAAGACCATTACTTAATTAGGTTTAAAATTATTTAGCTAAGTTACCAAAAGGTTGATGATGAGATTGTCATCAGAGCTGACTCCATGTAGAATATATAATTTATCTTCCAAAAGATATCTTAAAGTATAGTTGTCCTTATCATTCCAACCACTAGGTAGAAGTTCTGTTTTCTCTTCTTCACCGGTAAGCGTTCTCTATAAAAGTTATACAGAAATCAATATCTGATTAAAGGGCAGACATATTGGATAGTTGGTAAATAAAATTACCTCATCTCCTATTCCAATACTTCTAAAACCTCTTTTAGTTAGATTCCAATGAATAAAAGCTATAAGAACATCAGATTTGCGTTTAACATCTTTTTCCACAGTTTTAAAAGTTAAATCCCAACCAAATAATGGATCTGCAGACATCGCCCTTTAGTTCTGCAAAGAAATATTACTATCAAGAGAGATTTTAAGTACTTACTATCTCACGCTTTAGGTTCAATGATAATGAAACTATTACCTTCTAAATTTTATAAACAGAGATCGGTCAAAAGTAATGCAATTGCAATGATTCAGTTTCAATTCACTGTGATACAATGTCATGAATTGACATTTGTCAAATGTCAATAAATAAGCAGTATTTAGTGATGTTTTGAATTTTCTTTTGACATCGCGCTAGTGTTGTCCTAAAAACAAAATGGTGGCAGTAATAAAATAAGCGTTGTGGTAATTTTCTATTCCAAAATCTATTGCCTTAAACATAAAATTAATTGATGAGACAGGTCAAATTTACGGTTATTTTTGGAGATTAAATATGCTATTATCAATTGTGATAAACTTTCGACAAATTGTATTTATAAGTTAACCTTATGGCTTTTACTAACTCGGATATGCACAAGTCATGCATATAAATAAATAAAGATAGGTAATGCTTGCATACGTTTCGTTAAATGATTATAAAAAGGAAGACAAAAAACGAAACCTAAAAACCGGAAGAATTGAAACACAGCTTCATAAAACATTATACTAGTATTGAAGCTGATCATTCCATCCCTAGACTAACGTAAAAAAAACAACATGGCGAACAGTGTCAACTCGGGGACCGTCGTGAACATAACGTGAAATAATGAATTTTGTTGTTCTAGAATATGGGTGAATATGTGCAATAATTTATTTAACGCTGATGTGTAAAGTGCTGTGTATTGAATATATCTGTGTATTTTAAGTGTAAAAATGGCATCGGATAAGATTAAAGTTGCTGTTCGGGTTCGACCCTTTAATAGGCGAGGTAAGTTGATTTCGCATTGGTAATAAATAAAGAAATCTGCAATCTTACAGGTGTGCGTAATCACTTGTGTTTATCGTGTTCTTTAATTTGTAACCAATTTACCAATAAAATAGATAGATTTTTAGTGTGCATTTTGTAAAAAAAACTTTACTGGTTATCTTTTGTTGTATACCTCAAGAAGAGATCACTTTGTGTTTATTGAAATTGTAAAAAAGTCAATCTTATATTAAATATTGCCACAAATCACCTGCCCATATGAGAAAACCAAAATACTTTTTATTTGTAACATTGAATGCCATAGTATTATTTGACCCAGAACCATAAATTTATGAGTACAAAACAAAGTTTGGAAATATCAAGTATTAATTATACACTTACAGGTGTCTTCAATCCTGTAAATACATAATAGATCTATTAACAGATCCATGAAAAGTTTAGCGGGACACAAGTTTTAATTATTCACATGAAATTTATCAGTTATCAGCTCCCCATTGACACATTGTGTCAGAATACAGTAATTAGTCATGTTAGATAATAGGGAATAAATTGTTGATATATTTTATAAATTATCATAACATATGAATTCCGAGTAACAAAAGTTTATTTCAAAGATGAGTATTGCAATCAATTTTTGTAATTTAAAATTAAACTGCTGGAAATATGTGGTATAAATATACAAAAGTAACATTTATGGTCTTCAGTTATTTCAATGCAAATTAATTGTTTATAAACAAAATGTAGTTTCACCAGGGGTTTTGTTATTTTAGTGACTAAGTGTATTTTCCAAGGCATCAACAATATTTATGTTTGCTCCTTGTTTAGGTATCAGTTATAAGTTATTCATAAACTTTTGCTTGAATATCGCACAGTTACAAGTTACCTATGTGCAAAAAAGTAGGTACAGGAGCATCAAATTCCACATATGGTGGAGATTACGATATTTTGCTTTGTCAATTATTTTGTAATAAAAAGGCATTGCTCTTTGAGTATCACTATGTGAATGAGATTTTACCTAATTTTTTTGTAATTTTTGACTTTAAGTGAAAAAAAATGGGAATTTATCTATTTATTATTAAACGATACATATAAATTACTGTTCCATACCACTGCAGCATATTTTTTTTCAATAATTTGTCATGTCGAATATTCCAAAACCGACGGAATAATTTAATTCTTTGTAATATAATGCAGTAAAATAAAAAAAAGATTGTGGAATTTCCATCAATGTTTTTATGTTGGTATAGAATCTAAATTAGGAATTCCAGTCGTATTTCGAGACAACATTCGCGATTCAGTTCGCGTAAAGTTTTCACAGTTACTTAAATTTCTAGACAGCAAAATATCATTTGCTCAACTAACAAGGTCTGAGTGTAAACTTTTTCGTTTTTTTTTTAATAATAATAAGATTTGTATTTAACTTGGAACAGACATTAATGGTACAATATAGTACAATACCATTTGTTGGTTATTAATTATTTATTTTAGGTAACAGAAAGTACTTCTAAAAGCAGCAAACATTACGTAAGAACAGCACCTAAATCGGTCAAATGTTTCGTGATTTGTGTTACCAATTTTTACGACATAAATTTTATTTCAACAAATGCGGATGTGAAATAGATGAGATCATACGTTTCCATACACATATTCTCTTTATATCTTATTGTAAATTCTATATCTCTCTAAACGGATATGTAAATAATAAAGACGCAAACGAATTTTTAAGAAGTAAGTGGAATAAAAAAATCTTGAGTAGACTTTGCGTTATTCCAGATTATTTCAGCCATTCTGCAGTTACGCGATAAGAAACATTAAAACTTTGTCGTTTATAATATTAGAAGCTGCCAGTCCATAATTAGTGTGTTCAGAAGACGTATTATAGTATACTACAATGGGCAGTGGAACCGGATTTGAGGGGACCGGCGCGAGCGGCCGCGTTCCGTCTCATCACGTACAGGCTGCGAGCACGCGAATACACTACTTTTTTGTTGCACGACTTTTTAACAACTAAACTATATTTAAATTGAACATGTTGCCACGTATTATTTGTGTTGATCCTTGAATACATAGCCTTTACCGTCATTGTTCTAAAAAAATTAAAATGATTTTTTGTAGGTTAGGTTATTAGAGTTAAATGATGAAAGGAGAACGACGAGTAGCAGAATTTGCGTTAATGAATGTCATTTAAATTGTTCGTAATGATTTTGTTGCGTTTGTTACTTTTAATTTATAAAGTCAATAAATGAAGCAACGACCAGAAAGTTAAATAAACAAAGGTTAAACAAAAATCTCGTACAAGTATATACCTTAGATATGTATTAAGTTAAATATTAAGCTATTGTGTTAATTCAATGGCTAATTACTTTTACATTGATAAAATAAATAGGGTTATGTATTACATCGGCGAGATAGTTACGTAAATTTGCCTTTGTCGGCGCACGGCAGTCATTAAGCCGTTCTTATGCATAGTTGGCGCTCTAAGGCTAATTACGCAATTAAAACATCGTAAAGGTATGAATTTATATGAACCTTTTTGTTCAACCTATGACTTATTCTTTGCCTTCTAATATGTTACCTGTTTTTGGGAGGTAAAAGACGAACTAATAGGAAATATGGTAAAAATGCTATGATTAGTCATAGGTGTTTAATGTTCTAAAATCAAACTATTCATGTCACTGGCTTCAGTTTGATATCCTCTAGTCTCTACATCAAAAACATCTCTATAATCTTTATTCTATGTCCGACGATAAATTCACACACATTCAAGGCAGTACATTTTCCTTTTATTAAAATTGGACCTTTATCTAATCTATGAAAATGAGTTTTTCTATTTAGAACCATCGTCATGTTCAAACAATCGAAATGATCCAGATCACGCGCTACTAATTATATTTGTAACCAAATATAGCCGGCGCTAAATGATCAGCCACGATTAACATTCTACTTCTATACCAGACGAACGTGTTTTGACTAGGAATACATAGTCGCTGGAAACGATACAATTTCACAAGTTGTGTTTATCGAATGCCACCTCTATTTGTTATTACGGTTTATGCTGATAAAGCGATAAGAATTCGCTAAACAGTATCCTTATCTTATAATATAGTATAAAAATAAACGTGGCTTTAACCGAAGGAAATAGGAATTTTATTGTCCTTTTTGAAAAGTCAAAACTTGTTTACTAAGTTGTCTGTTGCATTTTGTGACCTTTTAACCGATTTCATTTATCTTTTCTATTCGATGTAAGTATCCATTTAATGGTATTACCAAAAGTCCAAAAGACATTGAATGATGTCATGAGACGTCCAATTATAATTCGTGTTTTATCATTTATTTTTATCGATATCTTAGCAATAAGGATATACAGGTTTTATTTACATAATTTAAATTTGTAGATGTTATGTTTGTCAGTATGTGTAGTCGAATTTCGCGAGTCACCACTAACTGTTCAAATTAGTTGTCCTTCACTTCCAGCGTGTATGTCGAATACATTATTGTACATTTATGTAAATGTTTTAAATTTCCAATTCCTCATTTAATTATGAAGAACTAATGATAAGTTTTTTGAATGGGCTTGTGTCATTCAAATATATATCAGGACTAGACGCACCCAAGGCCGTGCTAGAATCCTAATGATAGAACTTTGAAACGCTGGATGTACAGCATTTGTTTTCGTAGTTACGGTAAATTTATTATGATGTTTGATTAAACTACAAATTCTAATAGTAGTAACTTGACAAAATTTAATAGTCAACTAATTAATTCAATTAATAAGTGTAAAAAGTGTATAGGTAATAGATTTTCTGGGAAACCCTCTTTTGAAATATAAAATAAACTCTGTTATCTTGTCGCGCGTCGTAAAATGAGAACATGAGTGATTTACGGCACTTTGAAGATAAAACAGATTGTTTTTTTCATTTTATATCAAAGTCGTATTATGTGTTGTTACAGAATTGGAGTTGGGGACACAATGCGTCGTGGAAATGGAAGGACAGCAGACTGTTCTGCAGTATCCTCAGTCACACGACAAAGAAAGGTAAAGAAGATAGAGTATACGACATAATCTAGAACAAAATCTCTAACAATCGCCTTTAAATGGTCGATAGGGAGATGAATATGTGAGAGAAATGGTCTCTTGATACTTCCTTAGTAACCATTTAACGACTTTGAGTACAGCATTAAGTTCTTGTCACTGGTGTTCTACGAATACTCAAGGACATGAGATAATTATGGTTTAATGGTTCATTTAAAATTGATATAATCTCGTAACTGTATAAGCACGTGGTGAGAGTTACTTTCCAGTCGATAAATGTTGCGACTGTAATACTGCAATGACGTACTTGTCCTAGTTATTTCTATCATACGACCTGGTACAATCTGTTTTGTTTGATACATTCAGCTTTTCAGTGAAATTGATTTAATTTACAGTATTTGTTGTTAGTTTTAAAAGATTTAACTCGATATTTTTTTAATGCTATTCTATAGAAATATACAAAGTTGGTAGATTTATCAACAATGCATAAGTGATATAATCGGTTTTATTCAGATTTATATATCCGGAATGGCATTGACGACAATACGTCTGAACTTTCCTCCTATCTTATCAAATTGCATTACATTTAAAAGATAAGATTGCAATAAAATATGTATATATAATATTTGCATTTGACTTAGTCATTATTATATTAGCTGTTGATGCGACTTCTTTGGCATAGGATTAATAAAAAACTGAATAATAAGTCTATGCTATTCAAGACTGTAATCTATGTTCCAATATTGCCTGGTCTATGTCCATAAACCTATCCATTCTTTCGTATGTACCTATAGTAAGTTGTAATTACTTTAGGGTTCCAACACCTGCATCGCTGTTATGTTTTTACATTAAACTCAATGAGCATTTAGCGAAAAGTTAAGAACATTTCGCAGTTTACAGTATACAGCAGGAAATAACCAAACGAGCAAAGTTGACCTTAGCAGTTCGCCCTTGCCCTAGATTCAACACGCGAGATATAAAGGAGCAAAGGAAGTGTACGGTTACTCGATTCTCAGAGTATTATCCGTCTCATTTTGCCGTAACGTTTTATTACTGGCTTTGAGTGTACTGTTACTTTTGCCTTAAAGTTTTTTTAAAGCGATGCTACTTCACTTTGATCCCATCCATACAAGTTGATGATGAATAATAAAGTTGAAGTAAATTTTAACCATGAAGAAAATTCAACCTAATTGTTATAAATATGAGTAGATTTTTGTATAATCTAGTTATCGTTTCTCGAATCTTTGTTTATGCGTAATGGTTTGTTTTCCTTGAACAATATTTTGTGAGAATCTCAGCACTGGGTGTTATCGTTAGATCGGTGGACGATGGCTAACGGCATTGTAGAGCCAGCCGTCGAGACGCTCTGATTGCCGCGTTATGCAAGCGCGTGCGTTGCTCACCTCTCATCCCTCAACCCCCACCACGAGACTCAGACAATGCCTTGGTGCGTTGAATAAAAATAAAACTGAGTTATTAGTATATGTACTATTCCAGGCTGTATCCTACCTAGCTCTGTTTTAAATTTCATCCAGATCCGTTAGGCATTCTGAAGTTACCAAACGCTCATAATATCGCATTCAGACTTTCGAATTAATACATAAGTAAAATATTAAGTTGTTATTGTTCAATGCGTAGTGATATTTTGTAAATGTGTTTCTCATTAATGAAGTTTTCTTAATTAATTTCAACACAAAGTGGTCGTAGGTCTGTGATGTATTTCTGCAATTATGCGCTCTTGCAACAAAAACAAGGCTGGATTAACCGTATTTTTAATTAATTATAATTATCCTTTCACCTGTTAATATTTTTAAATATTAAATTATGATTACACATAATTTTAATTCTTAAATTACGGTAAATTTGTATAGGTATTTAACCTTATTATTGATCAGCCTGTAATATAAGTAAATATATACGTATCAAGATAAGTCATAGAGTAATATACTTACGTAGAGTTCAATAGTTCTGAAACAAAGAAATTGTAGGCTACAGAAGCGCATAACGAATAACATAACAAACGTTTAATCGTAAGAAAAGCTAATGAATTATGAAAAATAAACTACAATACATTGCGAGTAAAAAGTAATAAAATAGTTTTATCAGTGAATTTTTAATGACTTAATAGATCTTTGTTTGTACCCAGTAACGGACGCTATTGTCTCGGTAAGAGGCCTCGAGGCATGAATGGAAGGAAAATTCATGATAATTATTCGGTTCGCATTTTCCGTTTTCATTTATTGTCCGTTGTATCGGAAAATAGTTTTCTATTTTTACTGTTCTTTTTTAATATTATGTTACAAGAATAAAGAAAAAGAATGGAATGAAAATTATACTTAATAAGTATTAATGTAATTGTCTTTAAAAGCTTGTATAAAATGATTTAGGCTTTTTAAACGTGTCCTTATCTATATATATAAAATAAAGTCGTGTTAGTTACACTATTTATAACTCAAGAACGGCTTTACCGATATGGTTGATAATTGGTGAGGAGGTAGCTTAGAGCCGGGAGACGGACATAGGATACTATTTATTCATTTTTTTTTCGAATTTACGCCTTGAAGAGCTGCTTTTTATTTAACTTACTAATATTATAAATGAAAATGTTTAGATGGATGTGATGTGGATGGATGTATGGGTGGGCTACACTAATTAAGTTTTTCATATATCCACGCGGACGGAGTCGGGGGCGACAGCTAGTATTTTAATAGAAACATCTTACTATCTCTAACATTACAATAAATGTATTATGAAAATGAATCGTTTCGGTACGTGAACTGGTTGCGAAAATAGTCTTATTCGAGGTTGTAATTCAATTAACATTTAAAGCGCGTTTCTGAGCAACTATTGTTTATAGTTGGTTATTGTTGCTGATCAGTGGATGCTCTGTAGCAAATCTATTACAAGGCGAAACGAGCCTGAGGTATTACCAATGTATTTGCTCTACCGTGAAATGTAATGTGTTCATTAATTTCGTCTTGTGAATAAGATTCAATGTGCGCAGATAACGTTGTATCGTATTTTTCCACTGAAAGTTATGCTATATTGTATTCTACCAATGCTTCTATGGCATAGTACAGGAATAATAGTTTTCAGGCTTTTATGTTTTTCTTTTTATAATTTAATGGATTATTGGTATGTGTATATGAAAAATATTGCCAATTTTTTATATTGGCATAGTTACTAACTAGCCGTTGTTTTTTTAATTTAAGTTTTTTTTGATTAAGTAAGTAATAAAATATGAGGCAAATTAAGCCTTCAAGTTCAGCTTTAATCGACCTTTTCAATAGCGTAACAACTTTTGACATTTTCTAAAGTCGGTTAATATTGTAAGGTCTACGTTATTCTACAATCAATGATGTGACTAGAAGTTTTATAGAACGAAAGAAATTCAATGTAAATAAACATAATTACTAGGTTTGTTCTTCAGTTTGCATGTATAATATAAAATATAATAAGAATGACGCAAAACTAAGTTACTGTACAATTTAATTTGTATGTAAAGTTTGTGTTATCTTCAGAACACTAACGAGTATTCTTTTCAAAGAAAGCAGACCGTGCTATCGAGGTTACATCGAAGTAATTCCAGGGCAGGCCGAGCTGCGCATCTCACGTATCTAACCTCGTTTACACAGCCCTAACGCTGGAGCAAACAAATATGTAGTAGTTACTTTGTTTGGTTAACCCGTAGTATACTTCCGTACTGAGTAATAAATGCTGCACGTTGTATAAAATCGTATTCGTTCGCAAACTTGGGAGATTATGAATTTTATTGAATTTTTTTTTTATTAATGTATATTTAGTTCTATATACTTGTGATCAGTTAACAACACAAAGGATTAGTTTGAACGTTTTAAAATTGATAGGTGATGCTTAACTAAAGTCCTAAAAATAAGTCAATCGGAAACGAAACCTACGCATTCTTAATTACGAGATAACTTTATTTTTGATGTTTTGTTAATTTACATATACAATTATGTTTTTTTTTGTTGCTTTGTATTCAAGTGACGTGTAACTGTGTGCGATTTTATTAGCGGAAATAACATTGAAGTTTATTAGTCATATCCATTATATTATGAAAATGATGTGCATTTGGCATCGCGTGTCAGCATCGAACACGCCACGTCGTGTGCCTCGTGTCTTATTGATTGACCCAATTGCATTCCTCAAACATTGTTCAATTCTATTATATTAAAATCAAATTTAACTTCTCTATCATCCTGTATGTCTGTGTTACTAACTAATTGTGAATGCCGCCTATTTGTAATTTGCCTAGATAAATTGGAAATATCATGAATGATTGAATGATTCTTACAACTACAAAGTATTGAAATCTTTCTTAGCGAATGAATGTGTACAACATGTAGTTTGATAACTCTTTACAATTTGCCTAGACAAGTTACAAATGGTCAGCATTCACAATCGCTCGGTAGCATATATAAAAATGTCTCTGTAGTGATGTCATTCAGTATTTATTGATGTTCAATGTATAATAATGCGTGTCTATTGATCGCAGAACGAACCGTTCCACTTGTTGTGTTTACAATAGCAGTAACTATAGATACGGTGGCACTTGTCACAGAAGAGGTGCGCTTACATGACCAAACGATACACGTAATAGAGTGGAAAATCGATTTTATTCCTTTTTACTTCTGAAGATTATTTGTGTGACATGTTTATTATAGAAATAGATTTTATAGTACACATTTATATTAAAAAAAAAATTAAAAATAATCTTCAAATCCCACTTGGAAACTAACTAATTTTTACTATATATGCAGTCGTGCAGTATTCAATTTCAACGATATTCGCTTGTTACGTTCCTTATCTGATACTATGTGATAAGACATACCTAATCGAAACTGTAAGCATATTATAAAACCATGCTTTGAGAATGCTAAGGAATACCTTTAAAACATGTTAAAAATTTCTTTCTTACTTATTTAATTTTATAATAATATTCTAACATACAAGTATAATATTTCACACGTTATTATGTATAA